CACACATATTAAAAACCTAAAAATGTGTTTATGATTTGTAGTTAAAATAGTTAGTAAAAATCAGCTGACGTAATCATATTTTTATAATGTTAGAAGACAAAAATATTCTCTATATTATTTCTAAGATCTATATATTTCATGAAATATGAATGGTATTTATTATTAAAAAATTTGTCTTCAATAAAAATAAAATCTTACATTCAATTAATTTCATTTTATTTAACCACACATTTAACTTAAAACATTATCGTAACTCTTTTATTTTTCAACCTTCTAGAAAGACCAACCTTTAAGATATAATATCATAAGATCTCAAAATATTTCTCTACGATGAACAATAATCAAAATATATATAAACTCAGAGACGAAGATAAATGATAAAAAATGAGAAATAATCATACTATAAAGATAGATTAGAAACTAATTGATAAATTTTATTATGACATATATATAATGTAAACAAAACATTAGTTGATCATGATAAATCATATAAGCAAATCATGGTTTATTTTTGTTTAGTGACAAAGCATATAGATCATGTATTTTTTCTACTTCAATTTTAACAGTTTTTTCTAATTGAAATAAGATTGGAATACTTTGTTTTCCATGCAAAACACAAAATAAATTCAAGCAAACAAAAATGCAAAGGCTTAATGTTTTGATCATTTTTTTAAAGCTTAACAAAAAACATAAAGCTTAATTAAGATATAATGAGATACTTACACTTAAAAATATTGAAATAAATAACATTTGTATATGTTTTGATCATTTTTATACATAAAAATATCAAAAGTAATGGAATTAACATATGCTTTCATTTTTTTAAAGCTTAACAAAAAACATAAAGCTTAATTAAGATATAATGAGATACTTACACTTAAAGATATTGAAATAAATAATATTTGTATATGTTTTGATCATTTTTATACATAAAAATATCAAAACTAATGGCATTAACATATGCTTGATAATAAATATTTAATTTTATTATATTTAAGCATAATACATACCCTACGACCACAAAGTCCTTGTATATAGGCTTTGTTAGGGTATGGAACAGAGGAAGATAGACTCGATTCTTGAAGCCATTTATTCGAAGAAAGATCCAAAGATACATTAATTAATCACTTTCGATTCACATTCTACTGATCTCTAAACCCAAAAAAAAATTCTCAAAAAAAAAAAACGAAACTCAAGTTAATGATTTTTTTTATAAAGAATTAACGACTTATTTGACCACTACTTCTTCATTTTACAGTTTCACTTGATTAGGTACAAAAATTAAATTTAGTTTCACATTCTACATCTCATCAACTAATCCCAAATGCAGATTCTTCTTTATTTGTTTTCAATACCTGTTTAGCAATGTTTCTGCAAATGTAACATGAACAATTTGATTCAAACTCTCCCAACAATAGTATCGCAAATTCTTCATTTACTTCCTTCACTTTTCTCTCCTTTTTCAGTCCGTATCATTTCATTCAAACTTTTACCAAAAAAGTCAACAGTAATATCATTACTGCTCATATAACTCTATTTTTTCTTGTTGCGATCTGCTTATCTACAACAGCAATATGTCTTGGACTTGCGATAGGATTAATCTGGATATGCAGCAACTTCGCACGATGGATCACACCTGACTCGATCGGGATCGACGAGTTTCAACCTGAGAACGTACCTGGTCCCGATCCAGTTAGTCTAGAAGAGTATCAATTTCTCTTCAACGAGTGCCCTATATGTCTGGAGGAGTTCTCAAATGATACACCGTTAGCAAACACACCATGCGGACATGCATTCCACATTACATGTATTTGGACATTACATGTATCTGGAATTGGGTTAACTCTTGCCTGATATGTCATCGCAATGTCTATTGAA